GTAGGAAAACCTTTCTTTTAAGTTGCCAGATCTTATCTTAAATGATAAATTAGTTAAAAGGCAAGCATGTATAAAATTTTTTAGAATTTTAATTAAATAAATATTTTTCCTGGCTTCCTCAAATAAAATTTATTTAGTCTAAGATCACCAAAACTGTTGGTAGGACGTTTCTAGTTCGTTCATATGTCAATAAACAAAGTCTTAAACTAATATATTTGGGCTAATTCATTGCTTTATCAGCTATGCAAACATTTCATGGGCAAGTACACAACCATCAAAACTTAAAAAAAATTATATCTTACAAAAACATACCAGTAGGATCATTTACTTTAAAAATAAACGTGAACACGCTAAAGATTTAATGATGACCGAAAATATGGAATACCAAAAAAGACTCAAGTGTATGGTTAAGTTGTTAAGTTCATTTAAGCATCTAACAGAAACAGATATTTTTAAAACTTGTAATTTTATATTTTTTAAAGTACTTTTATATTTGTACTCCCAAATCTCTTGATTATTTTTTCAGTCTTTTCAGTCCTTTTTTTTTAGTTTTTTTTTTCTTTTATTCTTTGTCTTTTTTTTTAATTTAGAGCGCAGTAAAGAATACTATTATACTTTTTAAGTTTCTTAGTTTTTTGATATTTAGTTTTAAATAAGAATGACTGTATTTTATTAAAATTTTTTAAGGGTCTGTATTGAAAAGATTGCGACGACGTTTCGTCATCTTTATCTTCTTTACCCCTGTCTGTTTAATTCTTTTTCTAATAAAGATCATTGAAAAATCCATTCCATTTTTTATTTTATATGTTAAACTGTGCCTGGTGACAAGATGTACAATTTTACTATGGATATGTATGTATTTTTCCTCTATATAAAAATTGTATTTATTAAACAGCAAAATAAATGTAAATAAAATCAAGGCCAACCTGGTCTACACCGGTTTAGCACTCTTATGAATATCCTAAAAAGATTATGCAATAAAATCTATAATGTTATTGTTCAAAAATTGACAACTGCAGCACAAACTGTTGCTATTGAAACTATAATTAAAGCTGTACATGAACTTAGAGAAGGCAAATCTCCTAGATACTGGAGTTTCTGTTGATGAAACATGACATAAAAGGAGTATAGTTAACACCATGGGGTGACCGCAGCATTATCAATTAAAAATTAGAAGGTTTTAGATATTGAAGCATTATCTAGAAAATGTAAGACATGTGACAAAAATCAAGATGTTGTTAATTTAAAGGAGCAGCAAACAGCAGCAGAAAAAAACCCACATATTTGCAATAAAAATTATTAAGGATCATTCGGTGTAATGGTAACAGCTCGGGCAATAAAGATATTTATTTGCTTTTTACAGAAATTTAATTTACGGTACACAGAATACTTGGGTGATGGTGATAGCAAATACTACACTACTGTCAAAAACTCCTTCAATGGTATTGAAGTAATTAAACTGGATTGTATCGGACATTTTTAAAAGCGCAATGGATCTCGTTGTAGACAATTGAAAAAACAAGTTAAGGGCCCTTATATATAATTGCCCTTATATATAACTTAAATTAAATTACATATTCAATTTAATATCGTAGATATTATTTGTAAAAAAAGTTTTCCATGACTACAAATACAAAAAAAGTTTGTATACTACAGTTAAAAAGTTATTTGAAACAGGTGTTATTACTTGAGGATTTTCAAATTTCCAATTTTAAATGCTTCTCACAAAAATAAAATTCAATTGAATAAAACATGTCACAGAATATATTAATTTTATTTCATTACTTTAGTTATTGTTTGACCTCTAATCTTGAATGGCATTGATGAATTCTAATCTGAACTCTTAAATTTTTTTCTTATTTTTTTAACCAATGAATTGTTATTTATTTTTCTTTTATACAAATTGGTTTGGAGGTATGCATATATATTAGTACTCTTTCATTTTTACATTTTAGTTTTTTGCTTAAATATTGTATTTAAAACTTTTTACATAAATATTTTTAAAACTTTTCCTTAACCAACTACAAACTGTTATTTTTTTTGCTTTTATACTCTTTAATAAACAAGTACACGCTTAAAAATAGTGCGGACAAAAAGCACGACACTTAATGTAGCGTCTTTTTCGCTACACAAGTTGTGCGCTTCAAGGCTACACTTAGGCGCTTTAAGGCCACACTTGTAATCATGAAATTAAACTTGATTATAAGCGTAAAAAAAGCCACACTTTGTGTTGCATTTTCTTGGATTCTCTTATCGAATTATTCGGAAAAGAGGCTCGAATCATGTTTTTAGCGATATGTTTTTTTCATCAACCATTTACAGTTTTACTTAAAATTTTAGTGTAATTTTTATTGTTGCATGGTATTTTTAAGCACATACATAGTTAATTTTTTTGAAAAAGAAATATTTGGTTTGTAATATTTTAGAAATATTGTATTAAATATGTTAAGCAAGGAAAATATCCATTTTCAGTTGTTAAAAATTAGGTAAGACCTTCGGTTTGTAGTACATTATTACATGAATTAGTTTAACTTATGTAACTTAACTTAATTTGAATAATGTTATTATTTTATATAAATTGTATTAACATAACTAGTTATGTTAATACAATTTATATAAAATATAAATAATATTTATATATACATATACATATTTATATTTATATTAGTAGTTTTTTTTTTCTGATAAAAGTTATAAAAGTGTTTATTTGCTATATATGTGGTGCTTTTTTGAAACTATTGATTTTCTTTCAAAATCATCTAAAACGTCATAATAACATAGGGGAAATTGTTTATCCAATTAAATGTTTTTAGAACGGCTGTAAATGTACCTTTACAGCTTTCATGTCGCTAGTTAGACATGTAAAATGTTACCATAATACTGATAATGATTTCATTGATAAAAATACTGAGCCAAAATATAAAGTAATCCATTAAATGATAATCGTAACGATTTATTGCCTAGTTTTTTTGAACATTCATTGCCTAGTTTCCCAGAGAATTCTACTTATCGAGTTTACATTTATTATGAAAAAACAATTGAATATATTGGTCATTCGTACACTTATAGTAATTGTTTCTGTTAACAATATTTCATAATAATTAGTTTCCTATATTGCAGCACTCGAAATAGTTTTTCAAAGCTTGCTAATCAAATGTAAATATTGCACAAAAACAGGTTATTTTTCCTTGAATTTTTTGAAAATTCAAAATAGCCGATCATTGATCGGCTGTTATTTCAAACGGTGATATTGGTCATGCTGCTTTATCAGTTTTAAATGACATTGGAGCATATGATTCCACTCTATTATTGTTTAAGAGTAAGTTTGAAAGTAGCGTTATACATTGCAATGCAAAACTCAAGTTTCTTGAAACATTGTATAAACAAGATAAACACTTAGAAAAGAATTCTCTTTTTGTAACTCCTGAAGCATACATCATGCAACACTCTTAGATATGAAACTAATGAGGGAATTTCAAAGATAGTTTCATTTCATTGAAGAGGTATCAAGTAATATTATATTGAATGATGGCTTTAACACTTGCAAACAAAACATTATGTTACTAGAAAAATATTCAACGTTAAAAAATAATTTGTCAAAAAACGAATATAATGTATAAAATGAATATAATGTATAAAACGAATATAATGTATAAAAGACGAATATAATGTCAAAAGACGAATATAATGGAGGTATATATATATGTCTACTATCCTAAGTATGGATAATAAATATATAAGAACTTTATAACTTAAATGTGAATCTTTACAGAATAGTTGTCAATCTGCATAAGTACTTAGCTGCTGCAACTTGAATATGTGTCAATCTGCAAAAGTGCCAAGTTTCTCTTTCTAATTTTTTTTCATTTATTAGTTCCTAATGTAATATACCCTTTTAATCCAAAAGAAGGTTTTTTTATAATCTGTCTACCTATAAAACTTTATAAGTATACACAAGTTGTTCCCTGATTTATTTTTATTTTTAATTAGAAGATAAAACTTTGCTTGCATTTAAGGCGCTCCTTTTTCTTCTGAGAGCACCTCCACAGAAGGGCAAGAAGCGTCCAAGAATAGATTTAGATGCAATTTTGGCTATATTTTATTGAGAAATGCATGTAGGTTTTTTTCTATACTTTTTTTTTTAAAGATAAATTTGGTTTATAACCAAAAAGTATTACTTTTTTGAGCTTTGTATTTTCTGTATTTTTAAAATTTTACTTATACATTTAGGTACACCTCTTGAAAGCTCCCTTGAATTATTTAAGAAAAAAATATTCCAACCGATTTTATTCAAATGTTTTGGCACTCTATTTATAATTCTAATTATAACTCTAACTATAAGTCAATAATACAGCTATACGGTTGGAAGCCATACCGAGTAATAGTTTTGCTTTTGAGTTGCTGTTAGTCTTTTATTATGTATTTATGTCAATTTTCCTCATGAATTTATTTGGGTATATGGATTTTTGGGAAATTTGCTTGGAACTAACAGCAAAAGAATAATCGTCAATTCCTTTTAAAGAAAGTATTGCCAAAAGTTTAACATTAATTTAAGCAATATGTTTGTGAAATGTGAAAGTATTTTTTAACACTTTCTAGTTTATTTTTGTTATGTCGTCAAGCGAGAACCAAGATTTAAAGGCCGAATGTCCATTTTTTGTGTTTCCGAGAAAATCAAGTTTTAAATTTTAATTCGCAAAGACTTTCTGCTAGAGAGTTCAACTGATTCTTTAAATATTTCCTAAAATTTTATTGGTGTGGAATATTTATGGAACACACACTCTTGAATATTTATTGATAATGGACAAAAAAAAAAACAAATGTTGACATACGGTTCTTCTCTGACAGCGATATTTATTTTTTAAAGTTTTAACTTTTCTTTTGCATCCAAGGGTTTTACGACTTTTTCTTACTTTATTATTGACTGAATTGAGTTTGAACTGAGTTTATATATTAAAGAAATACTATAAAAATGCATTGACTCGGAATTAAAGTAAAATTTATATTTCAGTTCTTCGTATTTTATTGTGATATCTTTCCGTTATTTCTTGTAAACCAATAGTATATACATGTGTAAAACAGTATATGACTCTAAATGACAATTTGTAACTTAATATATGATATAAATAACATCCTTTATTTGAATTATTTAATTGAGTCCGGTTATATTCATAGTACGTGAAGTCCTAAATGGACGGAATAAATCATGCATAAATATACTTATAAAAAATCAAAACACTTATAAGAAAAAGTCCAAAAAAACACAGATTAGTTGATAAACTATAGTGTTGCATTTAGAGCAATACTAATATTGAGGTTTTTTTTACAACAGTTTAGTCGTGCAAAAAAAGCATATATATATATATATATATATATATATATATATATATATATATATATATATATATATATATATATATATATATATATATATATATATATATATATATATATATATATATATATATATATATATATATATATATATATATATATATATATATATATTTATATATATATATATATATATATATATATATATATATATATATACATATATATATATATATATATATATATATATATATATGTATATATATATATATATATATATATATATATATATATATATATATATATATATATATATATATATATATATATATATATATATATATATATATATATATATATATATATAGCCATTGATTAAATACAACATGTGGCTACACCAACAATGTGGCTTTTAAAGCCACATAAAGTTGGTGTAGCCAGCGTCGATACTCATTGTTGTATTCTACATATATTTATTTTCCAAAAATAACTTAAAAAGTATACATACGATTAGTGTAAAAATGTGGTTTTATTTTCCATGTTACTTTGCTTTTACGTTGTTATTGTTATGGAAAGTATTGATTTTGCGAATGATAGGAAGACAGCTACAGCTAACCTTTACATTGTTTTTTTAAAAATGTTTATGAAATTTAAGTTCTTTTGGGAAGATTTTATCTATCAAATATAAGAAAGTTATGACTAAAATTACATTAAAAAACGAGTGTCATTAATTAGTAAATACCTTTTTCTAATATGTTATCAAGTATAATTTTAAAAACATTTTAAAAACCAAATATTATTTTACGTAACTATTTGTGTCTTAGGGAAAAAAAATTTTACAAGTCTGTTTCAATATGGGTGTGTAGACGCCCTACATTTTTTAAACATGCTGTTTTTTATGTCATTTTCAACTTTTCGTCGACATTTTCTTGAATTCATGGGTAGATCTAAGAATTTGAGGATTTTTTTAGTAGTTGCATTCGTTATTTCTTATGAGATTGACAAATATTTTATAGGTACAACCCTGACTGTGTTTCGAACTTTTTGATATATGAAGAAATAATTAATTATTTAAAGAAACTGAAACGTTACAGATTTGCAGTTATGAGTAGGGTTAAAATAGGCAATTTGACTAATTTAGTCGGGTTAAACTAGTTATTTTGTAACCTACCATGTAGGTTGCAAAATAACTAGTATATATAAAAAAGAAATCAATAAACTGAAACAAACTTCTTTTACCTTGCATTAACAGCAACAAAACAAGAATCTTAAAAAACATTTTGCTAACAGTACTTGTTTATTTAAAAAATCTAAATTCAAAGCTTAGCTTTTCTGTATGTCTTTAGCTTATATAGTAAATAATTTCACAAACGGAAGTTCAACAATTCAGGGATCGACCATAAATTACGCAACACAAAATATTTTAAAAAACAGAAGTAGGAGATCATGAGCTCATTCACGCGACATTTTTCATTAAGATTAATGAGTTTTTTTAATTTTTTTTTTTATAACTTAAGGCTTCGCGAGAGAAAACTTTTGATATTTTTTGTTTTGCTAGCTAGTGAAATGTCCCATTGCGTAATAAATGGACAATCCCTTTAGGGTTAAGCAAAAACATCTTCCAATCAATGGAATTAAGTTTTGTATAGTTGTGCGTGTAAGCCTGAATAATGCATCATCAAACTAGCTATTCGTGGTGCATTATAAAAAAAATTCTTTAAAAATAATTCCCCGGATGTTTTTTATTGAGTATTCAAATGTGTTATTAACAGCAATGCTCCTAAAATAGATATATTTAGATTAAAAGTTATGTAACTTATTATTTAATATCATAGCAATTAAGGTTTTAATAACAATGCAAAAAAAAACTTCAGGTAACTGAAACTATTATTGTGATATACAATTGTTGTGAAAATGAAGTAATTTAGTATAAAATGTTTACCAAAAACAGGATCTAGGAAAATAAACAAATGTTAATTTGTATTGTGAAAATCAGACTAACAGATTTTTGATGTTAAATAAAAATTTATTTTACATATTTATGAAATATTACATTTTTTGCGAATAATAATAATCAAACTAAGAAAAAAATTTAAATTTTTTTTGTTTTGTTTTATCATGGGTTAAAAATAAGTAAAAAAAACAAACAATGAGTGGGTGAAAAAATTTTACTTTACTGATGTTCAAAAAAGTCATGTAAACTTATTATTTGGATAAAGATATTTACAGCGTCAGGTATCATTGCGGTTAAGCATATAAAAGGTGATGTAAAAAATGTCATCAGAGTAGCTACATTCTCTAGTCGTTTAATTTGCGGTCGTCTATAACAAATAAGTTAGCGTAAAGATCCTATGCTAAAAGCTACCGCAGTTAGCGGTCTAGGTGCTTTATTTACTTGAATATCATATGAAGCCAGACAACAGTGACAAATCAAAAAATGAAAATTTATAAAAAATTTAAAAAAGAAACAGCCAAAAATTATTTTTTATTATTATTGCACAAGTTATTTGCAAACGTAGTGAGAATTTTAAACATTTCTTGATAACTTTTCATAAAATAATCAACAAAAAAAAAAAATTTCTGTAGACAAAGAAAACAATTTTTAGTGACGTCAATGTAAGAGAAGACTCTTTAAACCTAGCAAAAATATCTTTTAATTAATTAAATGAAAAATGTTTAATTGTGCAAGTAAGCCTGTATAACAATTCTCATAATAGAAAAATGCATTAATTTTCTTGTATTAAGTCAATGTGTTATTTTTTACCAAATTAATCATACAACTATAGTTGAATAATTAATATTATATTATTAGAACAATGCATTTTCAATGCACTTTTGGTAGTGCACCATAAAGAATATTTTTTGAAAACCAATCCCTGGATGTTTTTTATTGATTTTTAATGTGATTAACAGTAATGCCCTTAAAATAGATATTGTTAAAGAAGAAAATTTTACTTATCATACATCATCTTTGTAATTTAAGTTTTTATGATAATATAACATTAAATAATAACGATATCTAAAACTTCAAATCAATGGAACTATTATTGTGTTCCTGTTTGACCCTTAACTATAAGTTATACTTACGATATCTTTTGCGTGGTTAAATCCCGTGGCTATAGGTTTATATCTTACGTATAGTATTTGTATATTATTTGTATTAGTATTGTATTAGTATTGATAGTATTTGCATCTTACACGTTTTAAAAAACAATCACATTATTTTGAGTTTTATGATAATTAATTTAAGTTTTTATGATAACTCAACATTCCGATATGATAATATGGTATTATGATAATACAATATTCAGATTTTTTTATTTTTTTTTTAAGTTTTAAATCAGTGGATAAATTTTTATATTAAACAATACTAGAAGCTTAATAATACTTTCAACAAATGCTTATTTCAAAGTAAGATATTTATTTATAAAATGCCCACAAAAATAGTATGTAGTACATTATGCGATTATTATTAGAAAACATTTTTACTTAAGAGTAAAGCACAACAGATTCGCTAGACATTAATGATGAATAATCTGATACAAGAAACTTTAATAATTACAGAAAAAGTTACACGAGTTATATATACTAGCTGTAAGCAACCCGTAATACGGGTTAGTAGTATATAAATCATTATTAACAATTTGATATTTATTTACTTTCTCTAATAAAATATTAATTTATTTATACAGTAAGCAACCCGTAATACGGGTTAGTAGTAAATAAATTATTACTGTCAAATTTGATCTTTATTTACTTTCTCTAATGAAATATAAATTTATTTATACATTTTTTTAGTTGAGCTTGGCTTCTTAGTTTAAGAGAACTCTTAGCTTCATTAAAGATAAAGTTAACCATAAAATGACTTAACTTATATGCACAGAAAATCGATGTCAAATTTTTAAATTCCGTAAAATTGTTTAGGTAAATATTGGGAATATATTCTACTCTTAATTTTGCTTTAAGTTGAGTCGTTTCTTTATTTTTTAAACTTTTCATTTTACTGAGTGAAGAGCTTCAAAATATGTCACTATCGCACCTGAACCTTTTAAATGTTATTAATGTATTTTTTAAAACCTCTAAAATATTACACCCAAACTTTTAGGCATAGAAGTTGGATATCCGGAAAAACTATAAGTTGAAAAATATATCGCAATTCCGAAAAGGGCTTACCCTGCATACGGATCCTATATATTATGATAAAGATTATTATTTAAACCAACCTTTTTTTTAATTAGTAATCCAGCAGCAACTTGTTTATAAAAAAACAAAGGAATATATGGATTTACTATAATAGCAAACGTGTATCAACATATTTATTTCAGCATACATCCAATCCATTTTTATACTAATTTTATAAAACACATTTTGCCTTAACTTGGCGTTAGATTATTAGTTTTATTTCATTAATTTTTGTATAGATCAGGGTAATAATAAAAGCAATTGGATTTTACTCAATATTTTTGAAGTAATTATTCAGCTTTAATAAAATTGATAAAATCATAAAAGACAGTTAAAAAATATATTTAAACCTTTGTTCACTTTTTGAATATCCGTAAAAAAGCAAGTATCAAGTTTACTTATCTTTAAAAGAAATTTATTTACATGATATATAGTTAAATATGTAACAAAAATATTTTAAAACAGAAGCATATATAAAACACATTTTTCTTAAAAAAAACAAAGTTAAAGCCACCATTTACAGCACCGAGGAGCCAAGCATAGCCTATTGTAAAGAAAACCATATCAAATAATTTAAAATATTTATTACCAATAGGGACGACAATTAAACATATTTAAAAAGCTACGTGATTCCATATTAGTAGAATTGTTATAGAAAAGTATATTAAAAAAGTATGTTTAAAAAAAAGTGTATTAAATAGAAAACAGATAAATAAGGAACATTAGAAAATATAACATTATTTGTGTAGTATTTTTCACCTACCATACATTGAATAGGATGTTTATCAATTTTGAAAAACAAACTATAAAATGCTCTAGTTCTTGAACATGCAACGTATAGTTGACCATGGGAAAAACACGGTTTTTTTAGATATACCCCAACTCTATCAAATGTTTGACCTTGACTTTTATTGATTGTCATCGAATAAGCTAATCTGACAGGAAACTGACGACGTTTTAGAACAAAAGTTAAATTAGAATCTGATGGAGCCAGCTGAATTCGAGGAACAAATTAGAAATTTAGATCATAAAGCTGGGCTATGTAATGGAACCCGAAAGAAAGTTTGTGCTCTCGAAAACGATTATATTAATGCAGAGGTTTTGACAGGTGTTTCTGAAGGTAAACGGGTTTTGTTTACCTTCAGAAACAGGTGTTTCTGAAGGTAAACAAAACCCGTTTACCTTCAGAAACACCTGTCAAAACCTCTGCATTAATATAATCGTTTTCGAGAGCACAAACTTTCTTTCGGGTTCCATTACATAGCCCAGCTTTATGATCTAAATTTCTAAGTAGCATAATAACACAACCAATTTTCAATTTTAAACAATGAGTAGGAATACCTGAAGGAGTTAAGCTGTTCAAAAACTCAACAGGGAAATTATTTATTTCATTAAGATCGTCAGTGTCTATTTGATCAGCACTTAAATAAGTTTTGACCTCTCCGTGTAGACGTTCAAGCACTTCTTCATTGATTGACAATGAATCCACATTAGTATGTGTTAAAATGACACGTTTAGTATAATCATTTTGTTGAGCATCTCCAAATATTTTTTCAACAATTGATTTGTTTTCTCTAATAATGCACTCTTGCGGTATTTCAATACATCCCTTAAAAGGATCTTCCTCCTTGCCAGGTATTGTTCCACTACCAAGTTTTAACAGCCATTCGGAAAAATCTCCTTCTCCATTACGTACTCTCATATTTTCAGTTAATGTAAACTTCTGCACCCATTGCCACTGTAAAGAACATTTTATACATGATTCTACAACTTCAGCTGGTCTTCCTCTTTTCACAACAGGCAAAATTTGCCTAAAGTCACCACCAAAAAGAATGACTTTTCCTCCAAATGGAAAGTTGTTGTTGCAAACATCTTTTAACAACCGATCGATTGCATTTAAAGCGTGTTTGGGAATCATGGATGTATCGTCAAGCATAAACAAACTAACTTGCCTTAAAAATTGTCCATGAATAGAGGAGTCACATTACATGAACTGTTATACAGTATTGGGACAGGAAGTTTAAATAACCCATGCAGCGTAGATCCTTTTGTAAGAAGAGTTGCTGCTATGCCAGTCCATGCAGCTGTAGCAGATTTAACACCCCTACTGCTCATTTTAGCAATCAAATAATTATATGTAAAAGTTTTGCCACTACCGGCTGGTCCATCCATAAAAAACAATCTGGAATGTTGATTTTCTACACATGGTTGCTCGTTCAATGCAGCAAGTACAGCATTACTTACATTTAATTGATTGACATTAAGAAGCGGTCTCATTCGATTAGCTTCGTCAATTGATTGCTGAACATTATCATTTAAATTTTCTAGATTAAAATCTATGAATTCATCAACAACAGGCAAATTATAATCAGATAGCGTTTTACTACTTTGATTAATAATCTTTTCGATTTGAAGAAGAGTAGCTTGTTCAGCTAATATAAATAGAACTTGGCGATGAATGAAATCTTCCATCATAAAGGCTTTGTATGAATTCCAAAGATGCAAAGGGTCATCAGGTTCACAAAAGGTTAAAACAATTGAAAACAGCTGCCTGATTTGCTTAGGCATTCGCGTTAAAACTGCCTCAGAAAGAGTATTCTGCCATTCAGTGTCATCTTGCAACAAACCATTAAAAACACACGCTTCACGAAAGGTTTCAAGAACTATTCCATTAACAGTACGCAAATCCTCCCAAGATTTTGCTCCTTTTGCTTGAAAAAGTAACAATCTAAGAAAAAATAATTCTCCTGTTGGACTAACTTTATACATTCTTACCATCACCTTATTTCCACCTCTTTGTCTAACCTTCCATTTACAATATTTATCATCAAATACAAAGTGATATGGAATGTCAACATATGAGTAGGTGCACTAACATAACGACAATCTAAGAAAGTGTTTATTTCATCGTGATTAGGTAGTGAACAGGTTGTTCATTTATCAAAAAATTCGCACAATCATGCCCTTTGTATATGTATTTATACAAATATTTAACAGCCTTTACAGACATGCAAGCTTCAACATTAATGTGGGCTTGATATTTCTTTGATAACCAAGGATTATAAGGTACCACCTAACGGTTATCTACATTGTTGCCTTTAATATTGATAACCAACCCATTATCACGACGTCTATAGCGCAGATAACCATTGTGAACAGCTACTGTGTTGGCATTAAAATCTTTAGGATAATTTTTGCTGCACACCCCATCTTTCATGCAGAGAGAATTTGGATTCAGTATCCCACATGGGCCGTGAATCATGCAAGTTTTACTAATACCATAAAGTTCACAATTAACTATCGGATCTGGAATTTCTGCACAAATCAAATTATCAATATCCTGTGATGTTTCAAGTTTATCATCATTTGCTAAATGAAGTAAAATGTGGGCATGCGGCAAACCACGCTTTTGAAACTCAATAACCTGAACATGCGTTACAACTTTGCCTAATACACCATGTTTGAATATATCATTGAGGAGGTTATTTAACTTGAGTTTAAATACTCGAGTAACCAAATCAGGTCTATCATTCGCATTCTGACCCGGATATAAATTTTCTGTTATTTCACGCCTTTTTGGGTTGCAAGTAAAAAAAGATCTGGTTTACCATACTTTTTAAAAATTGCCATAGCATCTTTAAAGTTTTCTTTTAAAGCTCTAGGACTTCCTACATAAGATGATGACAAAACTACTACTCGTCCTGGTCTAATATTACGATCGTTGGCAATGTTGTTAATATGTTCATGTAAGGCATCGTACTGCTCGCTACTCAGCTTATTTTGATTATTTCTGATAAAAGCAAGACGCTGGCCTTCAATTTTTACATATGCATCTACAGCATATTGCTAAAATACTTTCTTGCCATAAAATAAACAAAAAAATTGCCTAACAGAAAGTCTATAATTGTAGAACTGAGATAATGTAACATGATTTCTAACCAGTGTGGCACGCTTAGGGTTATGCACCAATTGATTATGCCAACCAGCATCACCTCTTGAAAAAAATAGCGGATAAACCATAGGATCCAAGTTGGCTGACATACTTGATACAATTTTTAAAGGATGACCTCTTGGGTAAATAACGACTTCCCTGGAAGTTGGGGGAGCACCATCTTCGCCAACAAATACAACTGCAAGTTCATCATGTGAAGGTAGATTATAACGACGTCTACCACCACCTTCAAGTAAAGACATTTTTACAACAGAAGCTGAGCGACCTTCTATAGCCGCCTTACAAATTTCTTCATCTTCTACTTCAGCCATGTTTTTAAATGCAAGAGCAAATGGACTTTTTTCCATAATTATAGTTTGCAATTGAAACATTAAATCACGTAAACAAAGATCGTTAGCATAGTGTTGCATTCAAAAATTGAGTGCAGCAAGTGGATCATAAATATATAGTTGAGAATGTATTGGTGGAATACCTTGATCTGGCCTAAGATTACCTACACGATGAAAAATCTGGCCACATATTTTAAAACATGGAAGCCCATGATTCATTGGTTGAACTACATTTGCTGTAAAAGAAGCAAAAGAAAGGCAGGCATTATAATTTCGAATATGTTTTAAAAAATTAGCACTAGCATTACAATCTACATAACTCCCTGTAAACAAATCCTGTAAAGCTTGTGTAATTGGTGAAAGTGGAGGCAAAGCTACCTTACCATTATGGCAACATAGAAAATGTGTTTCATCTGGAAATTTCTTAGCACCACAGTGCTGAAAAATTTGATTCATTTCTCCTAAATAATTATAATCTGGAATAGCATTACTTCTCGCTATAGAATACATTCGTCCTTGTCCAACAGCTCTACTTTCATTTTGGCGACGATTAACATTATCTTGATCGAGCCTATTTCTTTCATTTTGGCGACGATTAACATTATCTCGATCGAGCCTATTTCTTTTATTTTGCCAACGATTAACATTATCTCGCCTAAGTCTATTTCTTTCATTTTGTAAACAATTAATTTCATCTCGCCTAAGTCTATTTCTTTCATTTTGTAAACAATTAATTTCATCTCGCCTAAGTCTATTTCTTTCATTTCGTCTACGATTAATTTCAACACGCCTTATTGCACTTACATCATCTTGTAAATACAAAACTACATCTAGCCTATCATCCATTTCAATTTCATCATTTTCATTAAACATATTTATCAAAGCAACACTAATTATTTCTTTTTTTTTTTTTACTAATCTAAAGTTAACAATAAAATAAAAAAACTTAATAACTAAAAAATCATACTCGAAAAATTAAAAAAAAAAAATTTCAAAACAAATATATAAAGAAACCAAACAAATGCAAAATAGAATTAGTTTGCCCTCATCAAAAGTAATACAGGTTTCTTAAGTTTATTTGATAGAAGTTAAGAAAAACCTGCAACCACATCAGCAAAAACTTATTAAAACTTATTTTATTTCTAATAAAAAAAAAAAAAAATTGCGACAGCGTCATAGTTCATGCGTTAGGAGAAAACATTGAACAAAACACGTAATAAAACTTATTAATGCATTATTAATGCATTATGTACGATAGAAAACAGGTTATTAACGCGGGTTTATAAATTTTTTTCTCCTAACACACTATTATGCTGTCGCAACTCCAAGGATATATATAGTTATATATAGTTATATATATATATATATATATATATATATATATATATATATATATATATATATATATATATATATATATATATATATATATATATATATATATATATATATATATATACAGAACTATTTATTAGTGAAAACATATGAAAACCAAAGTTTTTTTTACAATATATATATTATATATTTGATAAATAAACCTCTACAATTTCTTTGGTTCAACAACTCGATAATCATTAATATTAACTCTGTAAACATGAATTTTCTAATAATTTAAATCTTAATAAATTATAACAATTAACTACTTATTTAAACAAATAATTACTTATTAAATTTTAAAAGATTTTATATAAACGTAATGTCTACTTAGAAATACTTAAGGTATATTTATACATTAAAAAGATCTACAATTTTGAAAACCTGAAACTTTAAATCTACTTCAAAAAAAACAAATATATATTGAAAAGTATTTTTATTTCTTTTTAAAAATTTAAAAATGCTTTTTAACTTACTCCCTCCAATATTATTATATAATTTATAGTATATATTGATAAATAAACCTTTACAATTTTCTTGGTTTAACAACTTTTTTAAACTTGGTTTAAAAAAATTTCTAATAAATACATATTTAGATACCTTAAAATGAAGCATAACACAACACTCTTTTGACAAATTCCAGAAGAAATTTTCTTAATTTTTTTATTCCTTATTATTTTTTCTTAGAGAATATATATATGTAGATATAGAGAAATATAAAATAGACTGAAATAAATCGAAAACCTTAATTTATGTATGAGAAAATAACTTGAACTTACTAAAAAAGCGATCAGCTTCTCTTAACTGCTCTAAAAAATAAAACAAGTACTGCTTAAAATGTTTTAAAAAGACTAACGACAAAACTGTTTTCTTAAAAAAGAAACATTGTACTAAAAAAACTATTTTACCAGTCAATTTAGTTCTAACTTATTCTAAAAAATAAAAAATAAATACATATTTAGATACCTTAAAATGAAGAATAACACAACACCCTTTTGACAAATTCCAGAAGAAATTTTTTTTTATTTTTCTATTCTCAATTATTTTTGCTAAGAGAAAATACATGTAGATATACATATATATATATACATAGCAAACTAACAATTATTTAAATTTTTATTTTAAAAAATAAACAACATTAATTCTTCTTGAAAATAAATGTATCAGCTCCAATTTGATTGCTGATTTTACTCGAATGACTGGATGGTCATTATGGAATATATAACTGCGCTTAGAAAGTTCTAGAGGCAAAGAAATAGTGTA